AGACCGGTCCTTCGAGAGGGACATCATGCTTGGGAGGGTGGAGGGACGGCGCAGGAGAGGAAGGCCCTCTATGAGGTGGATTGATTTAGTGACTGGGATAATTGGGATGGGAATGTCGGAGACAGTGTGATCGGCACAGGACAGAGTGGAGTTTAGGGGTGTTGTACATAGGGTCGCTATGAGTCGCAGGCGACTCGACGGCACATAACAACAAACAACAATATAAAACTCTATGACTATAACAATGTACATATTATAAGTCATAAAATTACTTCGATTTGAGATACAAGCACCTCATTCTGAGACAAAAGCCTCTAGGACAGAGAGAGAGAGAGAGAGAGAGAAAGAATACCAGAAGAATTTCTGTGTTTCATTGACTAGGCAAATGTATTTGACTGTGTGGATCACATCAAATTGTGGCTAACCTTGAGGAAAATGAATCCGAGAACACCTGATTGTATTTATGCAAAACTTATACTTGGACCAGGAAGCAATCCTCAGAACAGAGCAAGGAAACATGGCAAGGTTCAATATCAGAAAAGGTGTGCATCAGAGATGCATCTTGTTTCCACACCTTTTCAATCTGTATGCAGAACAGATCATTTGGGAAGCTGGGCTTTATGAGGAGGAATGTTGCATCAGGATTGAGGAAGACTCATCAACAATCTATGTGATGCAAATGACACAACCTTGCTTGCTGAAACTGAGGAGGACCTGAAGTGCTTGCTGTAGAAGGTCAAAAACTGTAATTTTCAATATGGATTGAAGTTCAACATCAAGAAGACAAAGATTCACCACTGGGCCAATTTTCCCATGACAGAAGAAGAGATTGAGGTTGTTAATTACAGCTTGGTTGGCTCCATCATCAACACTCTTGGCAACAGCAGTCAAGAAATCAAAAGATGACTTGCATTGAGAAAATCTGCTGTCATGAAATGCAATGATGTCAGTCTAGAGAGAAAGGCGTGCCTAATCCAGGCCAGGGTCTTCATAACTACTTGCTATGCACCAGATAGCTGGACAATGACTAAGCATGACAGAAGAAGAATCAATACTTTTAGTTGTGATTCTGGAGAAGAATTCTGAACATACCATGGACCCCCAAGGAAGTAAACTGGTTTTTCTTGGAGAAGGTGAAACCAAGTTTCTCCTTGGAGGCTAGGATTTTGAAGCTCCTTCTCACATACTTTTAGTATGTGGCCTGGAGGGACTGATCCTTGGAGAAGGACATTATGCACAAGTCTGACAATACAGCTTTTGTGGTAGCTTTGATCGTCCCTTTCCAATATAACATGAAGAAGAAGGTGGTTTCAGGATAGGAGGAAGACTCATTCAACAACCTGTGTTATGCAGAAGACACCACCTTACTTGCTGGAAATGAAGAGGATTTGAAGCATTTCTTGAAGATCAAGGACTATAGCCTTCAGTATGAATTATACGTCAATATAAATAAAACAAAAATCCTCACAATTAGACCAGTAAACAACATTATGATGAAAGAAAAAAAAATCAGTGATGCTGTGAAGGATTTCTTTTTACTTGGATCCACAATCAACACTCACTGAAAAAAAAATAGCATCAGGAATGAATACAGAAGAAAGGTTAGGAAACTGGAAGTGAAGGGCTGTTGCTTGTCTTCATGAGGAGAGATTGCGAGCTGAAGTTTGGTGGTAGCTGCAGCACAAGGTATCCATGCTAGACATACCTCTCAGAAGTGTTGGGCTTGCCTCCCTGTCTGACCTGGGGCCTGAAAGAGAGTTAAGTAACATGAGTATAGCAAGAGTTGCTTCAGTGTAATATTTGTTCATGACTAGTGCCTTTGCCAGAATGTTAACCCAGTCAGCTGAGCTTCTCAGAACACTAACCAACTTCAGTTGGAGTCAAGATAGTGAAGCAGGCAAGCAAACTCATCAGTTGATTGATCTGATTCTCAACCCTCCACATCACCAGCCTCACAGGCTCTTGGGGAAGATGTCATAAACCACCACCACAATCAGTCAGACAGAGCAGCTTTCTCTAGAAGTCTAGACAACCCAAACTTGGTGTTACACTAAAATTAGTACTATTTTAACAGTGGGTCCTGCTAATAAGATTATTTCATTGTGAGTGTCACATTGTGAGTGTCACATTGTGAGTGTCATGTCTATACATAGCATCCTTCTAAAACCTCTGTGCAGTGGCTAAACAGCCCACAGTCCTCGTGGAATGTAGTAACTCAATTGTGCAGACTCTTCTAGCTTGGGCTTCATGGCAGAATTTTATTTTCAGTCAATTATTTACTTACAAACAAGAGTTTTCATTAAGAGATTATTTTCCTCCAAAACCTCTTGTCTGAGTATACATTAACAGACAGACAGATAAAGAAAGTATGATACTTCATACAATGGTGCACTAAACAATAATAAATTAATCTAAAGAGGCTGTATAACATAGATGAATCTAGAGGATCTTATGCTATGTGAAAAAAATCAGTTACAAAAAGACAAATACTGCATAAGATCATACTCTAAAAAGCTAAAGAAAGGTTTACACACAGGTAGAATAAGTTTTGGATGATTATGGGGAGGGAAGGGAAGTGGCAGAGGGTAAGAATTAGTAAATAAGTAATACATGCCTCTAATACGTGGGTTGACACAGTGATTATAACAATGCAAGCATACTAGAAGACCATGAGGATGGTGTAGGACAGGGCAAGTTTCAGATCAGTTGTTCAAAGGGTTATTATGAATCCTGGATTGGTGTCCAACAACAACAACCACAAGAAAGATTTGTGATGAAAAAGGCATAGCCAGTAAAAGGAGGATCAGTACAATACTACCAAATAAAAGGAAGATACAAAGAAGTACAGAAAGATGAACAGAAAATCATCCTGACAGGGAGGCAGTAGGTGAAGTATGATTACACTATAGGCATTAATGTTATAGAACAAAATACATATTAACAGTTGAATGACAAATGTGTTTTGCAATTATTCACTCAAACCACAATAAATACACTGAAAGGAAAAAAAAATCTTCAGATTCTACAAATGTTGGGGTTAGGGGAAGAAGGAAAAATATTCTTTTTTATTTCTAAAGATACTTTATCTGTATGAATATCATCTGCTATAGATGCTTAGCAAAGTCATTACATTTCCTTTGTCAAGAAGAATCATGCAAAGGACATTGAACTTTGATCCATTTAGAGAAATACTAGAGAAATAAATACTAAGGAGTGTGAAATGCAAAGCAGAGGCAAACATTTTTAAATAATTTTACCTACGGAGAGGAACTAGTGAATCAGGTTGGCCCTGAGCCTCTCTGACCTGCTACTAGAATTTAAGAAAAAACTCATTACTGAAGAGATGGAACCAATTCATAGCTAACCTTCCAAGCTAGTTTTGGGGAGGCTGTTTATCTCATGGAGGTGGTTGCCCATCTTTTTCTCCTGTGGCCACTTGTGTATTCAAATCAGCAGAGGGTTGGGTTGGCAACTAACTCCCTATCCCCCGCCAGGGGAACAAAGTTCCCCTACCCTACTCCATTGCTCCAGAAAGGAGCCAGTGCTTCAGATGACAGTGGTAGCCTGCTGTTTGCTGGCAGTGTGGTATAGTTGTGAGCACTTCACTTAATGTTCGAAACCTTAGTTTTTTCCTCCACAAAACAGCAACTTCTGTACCAACCAAAAAAAATTGTTTAAACTATGAAATGTAAATTTATGTAAAACAAATAACTAATTACATAGGCCTTTTCACCTGACAACTCTGTGTAATGCATCTCTGTCTTCTTGAACATTCTCTGAGATGGGAGCACAGGCGATTGCAGAGTATGTCCCCCAACACAGTGCTGGCATTTGAGCAGGGGTTGAGTGTTATCACAGGGCAAAGGAGAAAGCTTCCCTTATAAAAGCATTTCCAAATGACCAAGGGTTGAATTGGGTAGAATGGATATTTGAGCTACTAGACACTTAATTGCCCCTACCTCAGACCCTCATTCCCATTCCTTTTCTTTCAGTCCTTGTTAGTAGATCAATATTATGCTTTAACACGGGGAATATGGAAGCTAAGGTCCTAATTTGTTTGTTTCAGGTAATAAAAGTTTGGCTGTCCCTCAATAAACCAGATCAACCAAATGGGGGGGGGTGAGGGGGGAAGAAAGGTTTTTGTATGAAAACAAAAACCACACGGAAGGATTCAGATGAGAAAGAACTCAAATTGGTAGCAACTTGGGGCAGTCAGGATAGGTTCATGCAGATAGGTTTTTGGTGACAGGTTGAAGAGAGTAGAGATCTTCTAAAATCAGTAGATTTCTCCACACCACCAGCTCTCTCTACTAGCTGTACCAAGGCTCCATTCTCCTCAAAGGTTCCGGCTATATTGTCAACCTCCTAACTCTGTTTAGGGACTATGTACTTTCTCTGACTTCCTTGCAGCCCTGGGTGGTTGCCCTTTGGGAAGTCTAGTTTTTCTGGAAGCCCAGATCACCTAATAAAATAGTTTCTTTTTTGTTAAGTATTATGCAGTCCACAGGACTCATAGTGACACTGTGAACAACAAATTTGAAATCTACCCCATCCTGTGCCATCCTTGCCCATTTCTTCACTGCCACCCCCCCCCCTTGTTTTTGTCATGGAACAGTCAATGCAATAAACTGGGTGTAGGTGGTTTAGGGAGCTGTAAGGATGTGAAAGGGGGTTTATAACTTGCATGGTTGTGTTGTTGTTGTTTTTCAAAACAGTATAACTGCACTGCCAACTTCAAGGCGGGTCCATGGGAGGGGGAGGAGCAGGCTCCTGCTGTGCTAGGTACCATCTCTGAAAACCCTTCTGGTCAGCTATAAGCTGGGTCAACTCAACGGCAATAAACAATAATAACCACTATATAAAGGTAGACCAAGCATTCACTTAGTTACCATTTTCAGCTTCTGCTTTACTTAGAAAAGAAATATCAGTCCTAGAAAAGCTTAGCATTTAAAAACAAAATACATTTACCTCGGACATTTGCAAACACGTCTTCGGTTTCCTAGATGGGGGCGGGGAGAAGAGAAAAGGAAAGAAATTACCTCTCCTACTCGTTCATAGCCTTCAAATAAGGTTTTTTCCTTCTCTTTTCTTATTTTTTGGGGGACTCTAACTTCTGAGAGCCCAGGCGAGGGCGTCCTTGCCATCTTCTAGAGAGTGCATCTTTTAGGAATTGCAGCTGCAGGTGTGGATGAACTGGAGCGTCAGCCGCCTACTTCTGGGGCCCATCTCCAGTCGTAGGGTCACCTAGCCTTCTCCCGGGGCCGCCCCCTGCCCGAGATCTGGCGGGATACTAGAGGCCTCTAAATCCCGGCCAAGAGGGGAAAGCAGAATAAGAAGAGCTACCAGGCCTTTACTCCAAGAAGCAGGTTCCATGGCCCGAGGTCCCAGAAAGAGCTACCCGTCCGCTGCCAAGGCCACCCTGTAAGGCCCACGGGACGCACCCCGAGGTGCGCACTCACTGTGGTTGTAGACGACAATAATGACCAGGGACAGGAGAAGGACCGCACACGTGCCGGCCAGGGGAGCCCAGATGTAGAGGTCACAGGTGAAATCAAGTCCTATTGCTTCCACTGACGGCAAGGAGACGCTTACATTGAGACCAGGCCAGCCTCCCTCAGCCCATCCGGCCCCTGCGCCCTGGAGACCCCACTCCCGCCTAGGGCCACTTCCCTGCCCCCGGCCCAGGGCGAAACGTCCCTGCGGAGCTCTCCCAGTCTCTCCCCGCTCACCTGCGCCTCCCGAGGGGGGCCAGCAATCTTTGGGGTGCGGAGACTGTGACTTCGACCCATTAGTGGGCGCTGGTGTCGGTGAGCGCGGTGGTCTCGTGGTAGGCTTCTCTGCCGGAGCGACAGAGCTCGGTTTGGGTCAGGTTACGACGTGGACCTTCTCACGATTTTGGGCACCCCCACCCAAGTGCTGGACCCCGCTGACTCGCACTCAGTTCCCAGAGCGGAGGTAGGGAGGACCGGCCAGGGGGTCGTGGATGCGCACCCTGCTCCAAGAGAGGAGGCAGGGAGGACTGGGCGAAGTAGAGGGGGTGTGGATGCTCACCCTGCTCGGGAAAAGGAGGCAGGGAGGAGGGGGCAGCGGGTAGGGGTGGTGCCGGACAAGGCGAGGGTCTGTGCTGACTCCTTCTCTGTCACCCTCTTGGTTGGATGTCTCTGGCTGGGCACCCAGAACCAACGCCTGAGGCTCCTTTGAAGGCATGCCCACAAGCTCAAGCTGGTGGCCATTGGCCGCTGACCAGCAAAAGGAGCGCGGCGCACCCAGGATTCCAGCCAGGGACCCCTATGCCCCCCAGTCGCCCCTCCACATAAAAATCCCTCCTGTCTCTATGCAGAGCGTCCAGCCCCAGCTTATTATTGTATGTGAAATGGAAGCGTGAACAAAGCGACGGCAGAGAGCCCTGCTGGTGGGGTGCACACCCCTCCCTGCTCCCCGCTCCCTGCGGCCCACCTGGGAGGAACACCGGCACGAAGGGGCTGAAGTGCATCACGGAGTTGCTGGTGACCGAGCAGAAGTAGTGGCCCTGGTCCTCGTCGCGGAATTTCCGCACCGTGAGCTTGTAGGTATTCGAGCCCAACGTGTTGGCCGAGAAGTGCTCGCCCTCCTGATGCTTGCGGTAGTTCGAGGTGTATGCGAGGAAGGTGGGGGGTCCACCATGCCGTTGCATCAGCCACGAGCACCCCGAGCTCGGATTGGTCAGCAGCACCTCGCACTGCAGCTCCACGGTCTGGTCCAGGGCCCCCTCCACCTTCGTCGGGGACATCCGGAAGGCCTTAGACCCCTGGGACGTGGTGGCATCTGTAGGGGTGGAAGCGAATTGAGTCGCTTGCAAAGTGCTTTCGAGCTCGCCCTCCCCTTGTCCTGGGCGCACTGGCGTCCGGTGTCCCGTGGGGATGACTCCTTGGCTGACCTCGGGGCGCCTCCGAGGTCATAAACGACCCAGGAAGAGATAGCCCATCTTTCTCCCAGGGAGGTGGTGGATTTGAACCACCTTTGGGTTGCCAGCCCAGAGGCCACAAACTCACTAGGCAGAATGGCCAGCGGCAGGAGCAGGGCGGTTACTGGGAACAGGGCGGTCACTGGCCGGGCCATGGTGCGCCTAGCGCGGAGCTCTGAGTCCAGGAGGAGCATGCCCGGGTGGGGCGGGGCACGCCCTTGGGCCAGACGCCCAAATGCGCTCGCAGAGGATGTGATGTCACTCACGCCCCAACCTAGAGTGGCCCTCTTTTCTGTGGTTCTCATCCTTCAGCGTGAGAGGCCTGGAGCCGTGGATTAGTGGTGGTCCAGGCAAATTTGCCTGAGGGTAGCTGAGAACCGGGGGCTTGAGGACGAGGAACAGGACTTGAGACTAAACCATTCGCCATTCAGTCTCATGTGCCTCATAGCGACCCCAGGACAACTGCTCTGTGGGGTTTCCAAGGCTCGAGGTCTCTAGAGGAGCTGTCTTCCCTGGCTTTCTGCGGCAGAGCGGCTCCTAGCTTTAAACTGCCTGCCTTTAAGTCAGCAGCTCAGTGCTTGAGCATCGGACCACCAGACTCCTCTGGGCTTGAGAATAGCCCTTGAGTATGGTTTAGAAATGCCTCTCTCATGGGAGTGACTGAGAGATCAAAGGAAACACTGGCAGTAAAGGGCTCACAGCTGGTGGGAGAAGGGTGTGTCCATTTCCTTTGACACTTGATCTGCTCCTGGGTGTCTCACTGCTGCTTTCTGTGCAAAATGGGCATTGCAAGCTGAGAAAGAAGACACTTCTTTGGAATCTGGGCAGTCACCTTTACCAGGATTTTCATTGGGCAGGTGTGGTGGGAGGAGAAGCCGCAGGTGGGCTGTCAGTCCTCTGCTGTCCACACCTTTAAGGGCCCTCTCCCAGACCCTAACTCTTGAATCACACAGCCTCCTCCCTCCTCAGGCATTGCAATAAGTCACTCTGCTTCACATATTCTCCCAAAGGGCATCTGGCCCCTGACCTAGCTTCAGGCTCTTGTGACTCTGCCTTTACCCTTAACATACTTGGGGAGCTTTATGCGCTTCTGCAAGGAATCTCTGTGCTGGGCCTCTCTGGTTCCTGGCCTTTGCTCTTGCTGTTTCCCTTTGCCTGCAATGTTCTCTGTTAAAGGTCCCCTTTGTCTAGTGTGGACTTAATTTGTCTCTGTAGTCTCAGCTCTGGATGCTCAGCCAGAACACCCATGTCTTCTGGGTGAGTACTTACTTGAATTTCTTTTTTTACCTGTTCCTACTCCGAAAACGCAAAGTCTCGTGGTCTGGAGCTTCTGCTCTTTCTCTTTTTGAATCCTGCAGCGAGTGCAGTTGCTGTTGCTAGTGGCGTTATCTGTTCCATGAGTCTGTCTGCTGTTAAGGACATCCCCAGATGCACAGTGTGGACTGAGCTGAGGTCCCTGAGCTGGCCTCTCCTCACAGGGTCCAGATAGGAATGTTGGGTAAATATTTCCATTGCTCTGATTCCAATGCCCTTCTTCTTCAAAATACGCAAGCTGCAAATATGAACTATTTAAAAATGTTTTAAAATTGACTGACAGAAGTGATATGTTCTCAAAAACTTTTGATTACAGAAAAATACAGAGAAAGGCCTCTATCTTTCTCTCCTCATGTTGATTCACTTTCCAGAGAAAACCATAGTTATAATTGAGTGGGGCTTTCAAACTTTGTCGTTAGATGGCATCAAGTCAAATATGATTCATAGTGACTCTATGAACAAACTACAACTTGTAGTAACCCTATAAACAACAGATCTAAACTGTGCTCTATCCTTAGATATTACCAGTGCTCAAACAGATGCTTATGTATTGCTTTCTGTAGTTGATTTTGTGCTCTGAATCCAAAGTTTTGCAACTGACTTTTTTCACTGTACAGTAGAAGAAAACTTAGCACACATAAACCTTCATTCTTTTACTACTTTATATTTTTGTTTTGAGATATACATATAATTTAATTCTATTGCTGTTGTGAAATACATAGCAAAACACATACCAATTCAACAGTTTCTACACATGCAATTCAATGACACTGATTACATTGATGATTGTGCAAACAATTGTACCATCCTTTTCTGAATTGTTTCTCCCATTAACATAAATATACTGCTCTTTAATCATCCTTCTGGTCTTCTAAGTTGCTGTTGTCAACTTGATCCCATATAGTAGGCCTTGAAAGAGTACACTACTCAAAGCAAACATTCTTTACCAGCTTAGCTAAACTATTATTTGAGTTTAAGAAGACTTCAGGGGATATTTGTGGTTCAAAGCTTTAAAGATTATCTTATGATAATAATTGCAGGCCTTCATACAGTCTCCATGGATCCAGAAAAATCTGGATTCTATGTAAATTCTAAATTCTGTTCTGCATTTCCCTACTTTTGATCAGGATTCTTCCATCAACACATTTGTCAAAATGTTCAATAATGCTTGCTGTGCACATCCATACCGACAAAGGAAGCAGCCACTCATGGAGATGAGACATTTCGTATCTGTCTTCTCTCCTCCTTTTCCTGACTCTTGTTCCTTTGCTGCACCAGGCAGAGACTAGTTATTCCACCTTACATGACCGCTGATCCCCATTCTTTTAAATGGGTGTGTTTTGTATCTTGTTTTTTATTTAATTCTCCCGTTAGTGGACATTTAGAAAGTTTCTCATTTTATTAGTATTTCCAGAGTGGCTGCAGAAGATGCAGTGCACCTCTCTGAGAATTTGTGCATTGTCCATGCTGTATTTTCAAATGGAAGAAGAGGAAGGCTAGAGAAGGACCTCTATAGTGATGGTTATGACTCCCTGCCATCAAATAAGTGTGTACGTGTGTTTGTATGTTTCCTATCTAGTAACTTGCATAAATGAGGGAACAAGGAAACAACCAAGCAGGCAGCGAGCTAGCACTATCACTTTAAATACTAACAGTTTCCCATTTTGTGTTGTTTCTGTTTCCACTTGTAGGTTGTTGTTATGTGTTGTCAAGTCATGACCAACTAATAAATAAGCCTCCAATTGGTTTTTAGAGCCTGTAACTTGCGCATTATGAGTTTGTCCATCTTTCTATCTTGGAGCAACTTGTGGATTTGAACTACCACCAGAGCTCTCAGAGGAGGAGAAAGGTCAAATGGAGGCTGATAGAGAGTATGGTTAGATACAACAGGACACCTTGTCCAGTAGCAGAAGCATAGGAGGTCAGGGAACACCAGATCTCATAGTACCATACTGGTTGGGCTCTGGAGTGGAATGTTTGAAGACATAATTCCCTATCTCAGTCTCCAGGAAGTGTCAGTGACTCAAGGGCCTTCCAGCCTTGTGTCTAATTTGTCAGCTATGGGAAGGGGGTGATGTGTAGCCCCTTTGTGTAGAGTGTCACAGGGGTTAGGTGGAGAGAATGCCAAGGTGACATGTGAAAGCCACCAAGGAGGGCTTGTGACCCCAATTATATTTTTCACAGAATGTAGTGGATTTTCATTGTAACCACAATGACATCCGCCCTGAAGCAACAGGAGAGCAGATGCACTTGCACAAGTCCTGGAGATATGTGCTCACAGTAGGCTCAGGTGTGCAGGGACTGGGCCCAGGCTGGCCATCTGCTGCCAGAAGAGCTCCTGGACCCCACACTGCTTCACACACAGGAAGGCCAAAGACATGGGGACATTTGGTGCTCCATCAAGCAAGGGCCTTACTTTAAAAAAAAAAGTAGACTGAGATAGGGTAATATAGTAATGCGGTTTCCTGATTAATTTAAACAAGTCTTCAGTCTATAACATCCGGTGGAATCAGCTTCACAGAAATGGATTTTGTTTGTTTATTTTGGAAGAGGAGATTATTTCCCTCAGGTTGTTAGTTGTTTAGTTTTTTATATCATAAAAATTATCTTAATTGATTATAATTAGAAATATACTAAAAATGCTTAGTTGGGAGGAAATTAAATTACACTCACTTCTAATCTGGTCCTGACTTTCAGTGCTTTTTCTACAAGCTCATTCATATAATGCAACTGTGATTCCCAGGAGAACTCTGATGTTGCTAGGATGCCCTACTCTCTGGTCCTTTGTACCACAGCTCCTCCTCCATTACCTCCCCTGCTTGTTTTCATCATTCCTGTTTGCTCAGCACCGCTCAGATCTGTTGTAGCCTGCTCATTTCCACCTCAGTGCTTCTATACAAGCTGTCTTCTCAGCCTGGAATGTTCTTATCTCTAACCTTCCTTTTCCTTAGGACTAACCTCAAGCATCCCCTTCTTTTGAAACTCAACTTCTACCTAATCTCATATCTGTCTCATTGCATATCCCTGTAGGGGAGCCTCACTCTGCACATCCATGGCTTATTTGCCTGTATTGACTGCCTACTAGGTCCTTGCATTCTAAATAAGGAAAACTTGCTTTATTTATTTTTATACCATCGTGCCTAACATAGGGATTAGTGTATACTTGATCTTCAAGAAATATTTGTTAAATAAAATTTAATGAAGACAAAATAAGCTTGAAAGAGATCAGAGTAAACTGGGAAGTTTTGCCATTTCCAGAATAAACCTATTTGTTCTTTAGTAGTCCATGGTATATTCAATACTCTTCAGCACCACAACTCAAAAACATCAATCCTTCTTTCATCCTTAGTCATTGTTCAGCTCTGATGCATAGCAAGTAATTGCAAAGGACATGGCCTGGACTTGGTCTGGACACCTTAGTCTCTAGTCTAACATTATTGCTCTTCAGTCCTCTGGAGAGGTCCCTGACAGTAGATTTTCCCAATACAATTCAGCATTCAGTGAAGAGTGTGCAAATGCCGTGCTTTGAAATACTACCTTTCATGACAGGGGACAAGCCTGGGTTCCTGCCCTGCATGGACAGCCACACTTGCTTGTCAGGGAAAACATGCAGCTTACTGTGATGTTGGAGTCCTATTGGTGAGGAGCTACACTACCAATCTGAAGGCTCATGGTTGAATCCACCACTTTCTCAATGGGAGCAAGATGGGCCATTTCCTTCCATGTGAGTTACTGACTAAAAACCCACTGGAAGGTTAGCTAGGGGTCAATTCCAACTTGATGATACAGAAAAATAACAAAAAGAAGAATGTTTGCCAGGTTTCAGTAGAACTTCCACAAAGCTTCCACAAGAAAAATGGAAAATGAAGGCCTGGCGATATTGTTGTTTCATATCTTCCAGTTGTTTATGACTTCTAGTGACCCTGTATACAACCGCTCTGAACTCTGCTCTGTCTTAAATCAGCTTCATTGTCTCTGTCCCCATTATACC